TGTCACTCTTGGTAGAGTGCCATGGTGTCATAGCTCACAGCAACCTCAACTCCTGGGCTTAAGTGATTCTCTTGCCTCAGCCTCCCAAGTAGCTGGGACTACAGTCACCTGCTACAACGCCCAGCTGTTTTATAGAGATGAGGTAGGCTGGCTCAGGCTGGTCTCAAACCTGTGAATTCAGGCAATCTACCCGCCTCAGCCACCCAAGGGATGGGATGAGTGGGATTACAGGCATGAACCACCATCACCTAGTGAGTTTGAAGTAGAATTTTAGTAACATTCAAATTTAATACACAAATATCATCCTTCTCACAAACGAAGGAAGAAACTTGATGTTATATTACAGCTACATGAACACTGCTTACCTTCATTACATGCCTGCCTTTTAAAAGAATTTTCTTTGAATCACATTTCCAAATGTGACAAAGTTACACATACTGGTAATACAGTATACAAAATAATAGATTTTCACTGTTGAGTTATTGCAAGTGAAAATAGTTCTAACCTGACCAAGTTCTTCATTAAGGTCTGATGTGTTTACCAGGGCTCCTTCACTAATTTCTTCATCATAAAAGTCCTTATCCCATGAGATGAAGAAAGAGCCCAAGAATTTCTGCATTTCTACTGTGACGTACATGGAGACAGGAATGATAAAGTTGAATAGAACCATAAATGACAGGAAGTCAGTGAACATTTTCAAAACCTAAAATAAAAGAGAGAGTTCATGCTAATTAGATATACCATTCTTTCAAATGAGTACAATAGAAAGAAACAGTTAAACAGCTTACTTTCCTTTTATTTCAATGCTGAAAGTGCTGCTCCTGCTACAAATAAGGAACTTCCCAATGATGCTGTATCATTATAGTCAAAATTATCACAGTATGTGAGGACATTTAAGGACAACCTCAATTTTATTCTTTATTCTTCAACACATATACATTCTGCCTTAACATTTTTTTTACTTTCTTAAGTTCTCTGCTCTCTCCACCCCTAGATATGAATGTGAGACCAAGGTTTATATGCATACATCCATTATGCTCATATTATGATATCTCACAAGTTCATATTCTACTAAAATGGTAGAGCTTTTTGCCAAACTACTTTAAATTCTTAAAGAGCTAAAAATCAAGCACAGGTGCCTAAAGAAAAATGAAAAATGAAGAAAAAAAAAACTTCTAAAACTTTTTACCTATTTAATGGTTTAGGGCCACCATATAATCAAGAGAAAGCCCAGAAGCTAACAAAATGTATAATTTCTCTGAACAGTATTTCAACAAAGGGTGGCTTGGTGACAAAGTTCTAAAGTTACAATTTTCAGCGGAAAACAAATTACCTTCAAAGTCTCCCGCTCTTTCTGAGTCTTTAGGCTATACCAAGGTTCATCATTGTGTGGGTTACTTTGCCAAACATACTTTAGAGTAGTGCATACTGCAGCTTTGGTCAGTAAGATAAATAAATACACAATCAGGAAGGCATTAATAGATCTGAAAAATAAGACAGTATGGATTTTAAAACCACATAATTGCTTAAGACATCAGCCAGATATGAATTTAACTGTGTTCATTTATCTAAGGATTCTCTTCTGTAACTGTATCACAAGCCTTTAGTATGTATGAACCTCAGTTATCACAGCTGCAGCATCACTCTCAAGTGGCAAAATGGAAACGCTAGCCCTGAACTGTTTATTGATCACCCCAAGTGCAATGGCTGACTAGCTAACCCATCTTTAATAAGGTTCCTGTAATGTAACAGGACACACACACACAGACACACATGCACACATTCACACCCCAACCTACTCAACCCTTATAGAAGAAGTAGCTTGTCTCTATTTCCCTGAATCCTAAATGTTTGGGGTAGAGGGCACGGTAGCAATGTGGAATCCTCAGGCTCAGTGTAGATATTTTCTTTTTAAAATTTGAGCTATGCAAAGGGTACCAGTGACATACTGGTTATCCACAGCGATGACAGGGAAAGACCATACCAGTAGCACCTGCCTTAGGGATATACCAGGTGTCACTTCAGTATTTTTCAGGAGACTATTTCTATACCATAGAACCAACTCATATACACCAACTAGAAGACCCCAAACCCGGGTGGCGCCTGTGGCTCAGTGGGAAGGGTGCCAGCCCCATATACCAAGGGTGGTGGGTTTGAATCTAGCCCTGGCCAAACTGCAACAACAACAATAACAAAAAATGGGTGTTGTGGTGGGCACCTATAGTCCCAGCTACTCCAGAGGCTGAGACAAGAGAATCACCTAAGGCCAAGACCTGGAGGTTGCTGTGAGCTGTGACGCCACTGCACTCTACCAAGGGCAATAAAGTGAGACTGTCTCTTAAAAAAAAAAAAGACTCCCAAACCATTTATTCTAGTAGTAAAAATAAATGAGTTTACAGATCAAATAAGCTCAGCCCTTTAACAGTTATGTGAGCTTAGGTAAGTCACACACCATCCCTGAAACCATTTTCTTATCTGTAAGCTGGAAAGGCTAACATAAATTACTTCATAGACTTGTTCAGAAGACTAAACTAAATCAGACATACAAATCATTGAGCACAGTTTCTGGAACACAAACAAGTGTTTAAGATGGTAATTGCTATTATGGTTGTTTTTTGTTATACTTTGTTATTTGTAATTACCGAAGAAGCAACTATTTCAATTAATAATTAAAGATATTGAAGTGCATACTAACTTTTCAACAGCAGAACGTTTCTGAGATTTCCCTTGGTAGTTCAAAGCCATTTTGGTTTCCATTCCAGTGTAAACAGCAACTCCTGAGGAATAAAAGAATATAATGAAACTTGGGTCACAAATGAACTTGTCAACCAACTCCCTACCCAGTTAGCTTTATAAATTTCTGAATCTATGAAAGTGGGAATTCTAAGTCCCCTCCCAAGTTACCAATTGATATATCAACAGCATAATTTTAACTCTATACAGCATTTGTTATATTCCATCTTAGTTTACCATTTTGTAAATTCCCAACATCTAAATAGAGGTTTAGAAGAAATGGCAATATTGGCCATGTTTACTTTTTAACATGCATTACTTATTCATAGGGTTTACAAAGCTTATTTCTGATGAGTATATCTTAAAAATTGTTCACCATATATCTTCTTAGTATTTTTTAGTGTAGCTCCTTTCAGCAAGAGATTTTCAGGTCCCAAAGACCTAAATAAAAAACAACCACAGCTTATCCAAACAACCTAATAACATTACCACTCTAGGGACATTTTGCCCTGAAACACATTTATCTCCAAGAGGTCAGAATGTATCAGTTTTCTTATATTGTATGCTTACTCCCCCTAAAAAAGCTGAAAGATCCCTCTCTCTAAAGTTACTTGAGGGTACAGCACAGATGGAAGCACAGTAAAGAAGTAGCTAGCAACACACAGTGGTAAAGAAATGCACAAGGGGATTAAAAAAATTATGAATCATAGAGAGATAAGGATAGGACACAGCAGTAGAGATCAAGAAACAGAGTTACAAATAAGACTGGGAAGGCAAACATCAAGGTGGGAAAAACACACTGACGTATTTGTAGAGAGTAAACCCTCCTTTTGGGGAATCACTGGGACTTTGGTGTTTAACTTCTTTTTCAGTGTGGCTATAAAGGCCAAGCAGAAAAGTTAAGGTAATTAACTAACTGATAAAAGAGGAAAAAAGGCATGTCTTTTCATAGGAATTGACTCATTATAAATGATCAGTCCTTCATTTTACTTAAATCCAAGTTAATTCTTCCAGCATTTTATCTACTGCCTTGTCCCTCAATTACTCTCCCTTAAACCACTGCTCTCCAGGTCTATTTCCAATGCTATCAGCCACTGTATAACCATGGACAATAAATATAGTGGCTAGCATGTGTTTAGGAATATCAGTCAAAATGTCTGTAGCTGTGCTATTTTGGAAACCTAAGTATTACTTCTAACAACCCCCTACCCTTAGCACACAGAGATCCTACCATCACAACCCTACAAATTATGAGGTTAGTTACTTATTAACCTTTATGTCCCTTTCTATAAAAAAAGGTATTTGGCTATTTTAGTAGATTTAAAAGAAATATATGCCCCCAGCCAAAGGACAGATTAAAGAAATAACTAACCTGGCAACAGCATCAAGACTATTACTATAGATATTGATTCGCCCAACAAACCTGTAAGAAGAACATAATTAGAAAATGTGCTTTCTATATCCGGGTGAAATCCATACATTACGAATATGAGAATGAATGGAAATACAAATAATGCAGAAAAGATTAGACTCTAAACTATAAAAACACATTTTATTTCTGGAAAAAGAAGTTACATTGAATTGATAAGGTATATAACATTTTCATCTAATTTAAAAAATATATTATGGATTATAGGATGTAAACAAAGATTCTAAATGGATTTTCAAGCTCTATTTGGGATTATGCATACACACAACACCTCTCTCTTTTATACCTTTACATAAATAATGTGGCTTCATTTTAGATTCACATCAAGGAAGGTTTCTGGTGCTAAAACACACTTTCGAAATCATTAGTTCTAACGCTTGTGCATGTATCAGAATCACGGGAGGCCTTATTGAACCACAGATGTCTAAGTCCCAACCCCAAGCTGCTGATGCATGTTCCCAGGTGAAATACCCTTTGAACTATAACTTTAATTGCAGACAGTGAACACTTGATTACTATTTTGGAACTATATGGGCTATGTCTTGCAGCTTATCTCAATACTGAGCTTGATCCAATCATTTAATATGACTAGGCACATGGTAACCTGTATTACTGCAAAATGGGGTAAAAAGGCTTAACCTCACCTTAGCAAAAGTAGTATTATGAGTGTTTTGTAATTTGCATTGTAAAAACCACTTTTTCCAGAAACAGAAATATTTTATATTACTATGTACACAAAATATGAAGGGTCATCTTCATTCATCACATTTTTTTACTTTTTGAGACAGAGCCTTAAGCTGTTGCCCTGGGTAGAGTGCTGTGGCATCACAGCTCACAGCAACTCCAACTCCTGGGCTTATGCAATTCCCTTGCCTCAGTCTCCCAAGTAGCTGGGACTACAGGCGCCCACCACAACACCCAGCCATTTTTTGGTTGTAGTTGTCAGTGCAGTTTGGTAGGCCTGGGCTAGATTCAAACCCGCCAGCTCTGGTGTATGTGGCCGGTGCCTTAGCCACTTGAGCTACAGGTGTTGAGCCCATTCATCACATATTAATTGTGCCATCACTGTACTAGGTGCTGAAGATACATTAATAAGCAAATAAAAAAAATGTTCCTTATCCTAAGAAGGACAAGTACACAGGCAATTAACAATGCAAGGGATTACCGCTAGGATGGTGGAAATGCCAGGTATTCTCAAATCACACAGCAAGGGATTTGATCTAGTCTAGGAGAATTAGGAATAAACTTCCCTGTCTTCACATTCTCCTTCATATTTAATGCAAATGAAAATTGTGGGGGTTTCCTTATAAATATGAAAAGGTACAGATACTGTTCTGTAACTCAGGCAGAATAACTCACTCCCTTTTCTGTGATCCCATGGACCCTGTGCTCATCTCTATTACCACACTGTAGTGTAAGCTTAGCTTTACTGTTTTATTGCCTGTGCTCATTGTGAGCCCCTTGAAGGCAGAGAAAAACTGGTATATATTGTGGCCCTAGTTCCTAGTATCAAGGTGGATATAGAAGAGGAAAAGGAAGAGGGAAACAATGATGGCAAGGAGAATGGTTACTATTCTTGAAGCAGAATGAACACTTTGTTTTTCTGCTACTAGGTGTCAGTGTAAATCACATCTAACCACTTGGATCCTCATTATGACTAACACCATGCATTAACAAGCTGGCTAGGATGGGTAATGGATACCATCTGTAATGATAGAAAAGAATGAAATTAATTGGTTCATGTGAGGATAAAAACCTATTACTCTACCCTCATTAGCACATGCTCTAATCAACCAAACTAACCAATCTGAAATCAAACATCACATTTTTGACAACTGGCAACAAAGTTAATCAGCAATTTACAACAGAGAACCTAAGTATAGTTAAAATAAAGGAAATTATGCCATTTTGCTCTCCCTTAACTACTTACTATGGACAACAAACTGTCTATTTGCAATCCTAAGCACATCATGATCATTCTAAGAAAAGATAGAGTACATATTAATTGCATGAAGAGGATACCCCTTCACTCTTTAAAGTTAGATGGGATTTACTTTGCCCTAAAGTAAAAGGGTTTTAGTTTTAATTAACTCTGGTATACTGCCAGCCTGATAGACCAGTCTTATGGGATAACTTAATTTTAAAATTTGATAGATGGCCATGTTTACAAGTAACAAAAGTAAAAGAAAAAAAAAAATCACAGGATGCCTGGGCCCACAATGATTTATCTTTGGCTGGTAGTGAACAAGGCTGATTTGATTCATTTCCCTGCCAGAAGGAAGGAACAGCTCATAAAAACATAAATGAGAGTAGGCTGCTAAGTGGTGGGTGTTTCTTTGCAATTCTGGTGGCAAAGAGAAGCAGGGCAAACAGATAGAAGTAAAATGAAACCAAGTGATTCTTACTTGTAGAGGTCAGGTTGAGGCTGTTCACATTCAATTGTTGCTTGGAGAGCATCAATGGATTCAGCTGTACACAGTGCAATGGTATCACGTACTGCATAATGTGTCTAGACAAAAGCAGAAGAGAAAAGCAAAAAACAAATTGTTTATTTTCATAATTGTACACTCAACTAATTACAGGAATCTAATATGTTTTAATAAGAGGCTTTGGCAGAATAAACAAACACTGATGCATATTCCCACCAAATAAGTTTTATGGTATTATTCTTAAAATATATTGCAGATAATTAGAAAGATAACTCTGCTGCAAGAGGATTTCTAAGATAATGAAAAAACTAAAAAAGCTCTTCTTGATGACAGCTGAGAGGATCCCATTTGCAGCATGCATATAATTAACCAATACCACACAAAAATGTTAATACAATTTTTAATCTTATTTATAGAACCAAGACTTCTCATTTTATTCACTATAGCGTATGGTGATATACAATATGAATTTAACATAACCTCTCTGGTCAAAAGAATGCTAAAATTTTTCCAATATCAGAAAAAGAATTATTAATAGTTCCATCACACAAATAGCTTAATTAATGATCTTGAAAATGTTCAAAGTGGCTACATTTTGTACAAGGGGCAGGGAGATGATGTGTCTTGCATTAGTCAGACAGTTAGAATATTCTACTAGTGTACATTATGCACCTGATTCATCCAGAACTCAAGGCAGTCTCCAATGAACCAATTTATAAATCACTGAACTAGGACTGATAAAGATTCAAAGAATGTATCATTTACATAGAAAGAAAGGCTGTTGCCATGGTCTTTGGGGAGTATTACGGAACTGCCTGAGCTATATTTAAAACTATCTCCTGATTTTGAAAACCTCCGTACTTTTAGCTTATTTGAGCAGATCAACTTAACTGAAAAAAAAAAAAAAAGTCCATGAAAGTTTTCTTCTAAACAAATTTTTGCCATTAGGAATTCTTTAGGTAGATCTCTAAACAAATTTTTGCCATTAGGAATTCCTTAGGTAGATCTCTCAATTTTTATCTTGACATTCTCTAAAACATAACATTGTTTTTGAATAGTTTAAATGCTACTTGCTCATTACCATGCTTTTGAAATACAGAATTAGTCATCCAACGAGTAAAGTTCCTTTTTCACACATTAAATCCTGGTCCTCAACTCTAGAAAAGGAACTCTCCAAGGTTATTCCCAGAAGTGAGCCACATCAGTATCCTCCCTTAAAGACAACATAGAGAGGATATATCTTCCTGCCCTGTGGAGCTCTGGATGACAGCCAAGAACTGAGTATGCCAGTAAGTACAAGGGAAGTAAGTTGTCCCCCAATTTGATCAAATTCACTTTAACTCATTTATAATTCTTTCTACTTGTAACAAACTGAACATTTATCAAACTACAACCTTAGGCATTTTAAACAAACAATCAAATTACCCCAGGTTAGATTTATTATATCCCAATAATAAATATTTTTAAAGAAAAACATCTTACTTTTAGAGTAAAAATAGTTCAAATAGTAAGGTTAGAGTACATGAAGTTATTTTTATTGTTCTATAGTTTTAGTCTATGATTACTCCTGTTTTTAAAAGTCTAAATAAAACACTGAATGAGTTGTGTCAATATTAAATTCAAGTAGTGCTATAAAAAATTGTGGTGGCTTTTATTTGGGGTATGGCTTTTCCCTACCCAACAACACCCTTTTCCTCTATGATAATTATTTGGTTAGATTAGAAGTTAAAGGCAATTATATAACAGCTATCTCAAATATAAAACCTACATGAGTAGGATAAGACAAATAAAAGATTAGAAGGTGGTGGCAAGCAGTACTGTATGATTATCCTAAGATCAAAATGTTTAGGCAAGATTTGGTTGCTGTTACCTTGCAATTGGATTCCCCATCAAGACTGGCTGTGGTGACATAACAGGTTCCATCAGTGGTACAAGATGATAAAAGAATAAGATCACACGGAAAGGTTTCATTTGCCTCTACTTCTACTACATCACCAACCTAGAATGGAGAGAAACACAGATATAAACATTTCAATTTCCAAACGAAGTATTCATTATACCTCACACTAAATTCAAAACATTAGCAAAAGAAATCTCCAGCTCTGGGGCTTTGGGAGTATCTCAACATATACATCACCTAAAAGGTAATGTAAGAATATTACTCAACATTCAGAATCCTCCTTAAGGCCACAAGGGCTTAGGATGCTTTCAATTACATTATCAATGACATTTAATAAATGATGTCAACATTTATTTGCTATTTTTGGCACTAATGTTTTATAAGACAATGACCATTATCACTTTATAAATCAAACAAGAAACTCTACAAGTTGGGAACTTCCTGAATACTGAGCAGTCAACACTCTCTCTCTGCACCACACATTTTCAACGTACTTTCTTTGCCATAACAACTATGATTGTTGGGTGCCAGTTCCTTCTTCAGTGCTCAGAAAACCTCAGTTAATTAGAGAGGCATTAATTTTTCCCATAATATTTAAAAAAACATTTTCCCTTATAGGTCACTTTCTAAGAATTCATCTGCTATCAGAAGAATCAATTAATATAGCAATAAAAAACAAATTCCTATCAGCAAACCCACAGCTCAAGTAGAGAAATAAAACACGAGGGAAGAACTATGAATAATTTAATAATGTAGGGAGTAAGTCATAATAATTAAAAACTTGGGCTTTTTAACTTGAGTTCATGTCCTAGCTCTGACACTTAACTATATGAAATTGGGTAAGTGTCTTAGATGACTGCAACTACCTCACAGGACTGATATGTGCATGAAATGATGATATAGGTCAACCATTAAGAAAAGCACCTAGCACATAGCCATTTAATAAATACTAATTATAATTATACTAATACCCTGCAACTACTTTATTCTCAACTTATGAATAATCCTAACACTCTTTTAGAAAGATGTGAGAAACCCTCCAGTCTGGTGCTTCCCAATATTTTTCATACCATGGTACATACGGAAAATAATAAATGATAATTTTGCATACCACCGTCAGGGAAAGGAAAGAGACTGGGTGTCTTGTGAATGCAGAAGACAATCCATTTTAGTACGGGGTCAATATATTTGGTACACTGACTGGAACACACTAGCTGTGAAATGCTAAACTAATACATGGAACACCTGTCTTCTATTTGCAATATGATTTGGCAGATAAAGATGAGGATTGCAATTTGTACTTGGGAATAATTTTCTTTTCTTTGCCAATCTTAATCAGTAGCCAAGAGCAACAGCATAAATAGCTGAACTGATTTGTAAATAATATTTTATTTTGTTGGATCTTTCCTTCCTCACTTCCATAAACACTTATGTTGCTTACATAAAGCCACAATATCTGCTTAAATATGCAGAAGAAACATAACAAACAAAATTCTGAAAGAATCTTAAAGGAAGAAAATATTCACTAGAGGTTGGAAGATTACTCTCAGGCACTGATAATAAAATGTTCAAAGGGACCCCTTTTTCAACACTTATGATTCACTCAGATATAAAATATAAAGGTCCCCACATCTGCAGTGCAAGCTGAGACTGGTAAGCCGGATCACAAAGAGCTTGGCAGGCCAGGCCAAGAGATTCAGGCCTCACCCTGAAGGCAAAAGTAGAGGACATTTAAAGAAATGGAATGACATAATCCAGCTAGACAATCAACTAGAGTTCCATTTCTATTTACTATTTTAAAAGGCACAAAAGAAAATCCCCACTACCCATCATAAATATTAGGACAAAAAAGATAATCTAATAAAGTAAAAAATATATTTTTTTGAGACAGAGTCTCACTTTGATGCTCTTGGTAGAGTGCAGTGGCATTATAGCTCACAGCAACCTCAAACTCGTGGGGTCAAGAGATCCTTCTGCCTCAGCCTCCCAAGTAGCTGGGACTACAGGTGCCCACCACAATGCCCAACTACTGTTTTAGAGATGGGGGTCTTGCTCTTGCTCAGGCTGGTCTTGAATTCATGAGCTCAAGCAGTCCACCGGCCTTGGCCTCCTAGAGTGCTAGGATTACAGGCATAAGCCACTGCGCCCAGCCTAAAATAAAATATTTTTTAGTTCATTGGGAGAGGTGAGATTGCAAGGCAACCAAGAAGTCCTTCTAAGGAGAGATAAAACAGATGAACCGTTTTACAAACCGACAGCAACTGAAAGGAGAGATGGTTACTATAAAAATGGGTAAGAAGAAAACAACTACATTTTTAACTAATTCTTAAGGCTAGGTGTGAGCTAACATGACAGTTTAGAATCTCCACAAGCCTGTGAGATAAAATAATAACTACTCACTAGCTCTTCTCTGCAGGCTTCCACTTGAGTACTCATGACAAAGCATGAGGGCAGAACACCTAAAAGGACACTCTCCTCAATGGTATACAGTCATACAGGTAGTGACTGACTGCTGTGGAGAAACAGGCACAAAACATGCCAGAATCATGGACCTGAACCAATAGCCATCTGCATCAAAGAGAAAGGCAAGAAACCATCCCTGGCATAGTCTCTGAGAAATATCACTACTGCTAGAGAGGTAGAAACAACAGCAGTCTGTTGCAGAGAATGGGACAGGAAACTCGCTTGTACCAAGGACCTAGCACTGACAAAAGTTCAGCTGTCATGGGAGGTGGAGTGGGAATATTGAAAAAGTCTCTCGTGGGAGCCTGTAGTCCCAGCTACTTGGGAGGCTGAGGCAGAAGAATCGCCTAAGCCCAGGAGTTGGAGGTTGCTGGAGCGACTCCGCTGCACTCTATCGAGGGTGAAAAAGTGAGACTCTGTCTCTACAAAAAAAAAAGAAAAGAAAAAGTCTCTCAGCCTGAGGCTCAGGTGCATCAGGCCTGCCTAATGTTTAGACAAGAACAAGAAAACCAAGAAACCAATCTATTCCCACCAGAGGCCTTACAACGAATAACAAGAAATAGTAGTCTACAACTGGGGCAGAAGAAGCAAGGATATAGGGAGAGGTACTTTCTGTCACTTATGAGTGCAGGATGTGCTCAGAGCAGATGGTATAAAAGGAACACCAAGAAAAACCCTCTGGCATACCAGACCCTCCTACCAAAGTTCAAGGTAAATAGCATTTCACCACTCAAGGAATTTGAAGTCTGGTGGTATACTAAAAGTATCAATAGTTACAACAAAAACCAAAGCTAGTCCAACTCCTAACTAGATTGACTCAAATCCCAATGATAGCAGCAGGGCAGAAGAGTCCAGGCCCATTTCAGAAGATACATACTACTTATCTCAGCCTCTACCATTCTTTTTACATTCAGTGCCTAAAATTCAGTTTAAAAATATAAGATGCATAAAAACACAAGGAAAGTCAGCCATCACTGAAAGATAAAGAAGTCAATGGGACTGGATCTAGAATTGTCCAGGTTTTATAATTTTGAAGGACTTAACTATGATTAATATGTTAAGATATTTAGTGGAAATGGATGGCAAACAACATGGATAAGGAATTCTGGCAGAGATGGAAACTACCGAAAAAGCAAAATGCAAAGTTAGAAATGAAAAACAAAGCATCAGAGATGAAGATTTTTTTCAACAGAGGATCTGATACAGCAAAGGAAAACAACCAGTAAATCCAGAGACAGATCAACTGAAATTATCCAAAATGATACATAAAGAGCAAAAAGGGAGTGCATTGAAAGGGAACAGATTAGAACAAATTATTTAAGAGGTGTAAGAAAATATCACAATCTAAAAGTCAAGTAATTGGAGTCCCAGAAGAAGAGAAAGAGAATGAGGCAGAAAAACATATGTAAAGAGATAATGACCAAGAATTATCCAATATTAAAAGCCAACAAACACTTGATACAAAAGAGCTAAAAGGAGAATAACAACAACGAAAAACAAAATCTAGGCATGCTGAAAATTTTAAAGTAAAGGAAAAACTTGAAGGCATCAAAGAAACATATACAGAGAAAAAAATTAAAATGACAACAGACTTATTAGAAACTATGCAAACCACATACAATGGAGTAACATCTTGAGAACACTGAAAGAAAAAAATACCCTCCAGCTCATAATCTACACACCTAGAAAAATAATTTTATAATTGAAGGTGAAATGAAAACTTTTCCAGACAAACATAAGCTAAGATAATTCAGTTCTACCAGACTTACACTATTAAATACTAAAGGAAGTCTTTTTTAGGTAAAACCATATGATACTATATGAAGATTTTTATCTACACAGGGAAATACAGAATGATAAAATGGCAAAAATGTAGATAAATATAAATATAGTTGTTATTATTAAACTTTTTAAAATTAAGGAAGGTAATTATAACCCAGCAATTTCATTCCAAGTTATAGAACCAAGAAAATTAAAAGCAGAGACTCAAACATTTAATGCCAATGTTTAACAGTAGCATTATTCAAAAATAGTCAAAAAGCAGAAAAAACCCAAATGTCCATCAACAGATAAATGGGTAAACAAACTGTGTTATATACATAAAATGGAATATTAATCAGCTTTAAAAGGAAAGGAAATTCTGATACGTGCTACAACATGGATTAACCTTTAAAACATTATGCTAAATAAAATATAAGGTTGGACAATGAAGTTCACTAACTCATCCCAAAAAAAGTGCTACAGATCTCCTTGCTGAATATCACTACAGTTACCAGGTAGCCAAGGGGAGTACTTTCATAGTGACTGTAGTGATATTCAGCAATGAGCTATATAGCACTTTTTCTAAGATGAATTCGAGAATTTAATTGTCCAATCTTGTATGCTAGACACAGAGGCATACAAGAGGATACAAGAGGACAAGTATTATACAGTTCCAATAATATAAAGTATCTAGGATAGTAAAATTCATAGGGACAAAAAGCAGAATAGAGGTTACATGAGGCTGAGAAAGAGAGAATGGGGAGTTATTTTTAATGGATACAGAGTTTTGTTTTGGATACTCAAAAAGCTCTAGAAATAGATGGTGGTGATTGCTGCACAACATTGTAAATGTACTTTCGAATTGTACACTTAAA